AAAAACAATAATAATAATAATAAATGTTGCACGCAATAAGAAATAATGCGAGGTAGGAAAAAATCAGTACTTTGAGAGATATTTTTCCGTAATCCATGACTAATAAACTTCAAACGGAAACAGATGAAGCGCTTCTACAAGTTTCGCCAGAGCCACCCGCGCTACTGCGCGAACCTGACACCTTCGAACGAACGAGCGGTGCTGATGTCTGGATTACTCTTACCGATTCCACGTCGTACTGCTGACGGTGTCCGAGTCTTCCTCGTCGAAGGTGGCAAAAAGTGGAAGCCCAAGGAGATCTCCCTCGACCAGATATTCCGTGGCGTCATACTGTTCCTCGAGGCCGCCATCGCCGAGCCCAAATCCCAGGTAATTCAATAGCAATTTTTTTTTTTCTTTTTTTTTTTTTGTTCCAAAGACGTAAAAAAAATGTTGAATCACCAATACCATTTTTATTATTATTCTGCTTGATGAATGCATGCTCGTAGGTTTCCACTGCGAGACCAAAACACTTTTTATTCGTGCATAAGCAAACCATATGCGGTTGTTTATCGAATTCTAAAAACATAAAAATCGTGAAAAAAATGAAGATACCCGCAATCGCAAAAACAAAAAAAAACGCCGGTTGCCGATGTTCCATTAGGCTTCGCGATAAAAACGTTTAAAGACAAAAGGTGTTTTTCCTCAGGTGGGCGGCGTCCGAGTGATCCTCGACATGGAGGGACTCGCGCTCTCCCAGGTGACGTACTTCACGCCGTCCTTCGCCGCGGCGGTCGTCGACTTTGTGCAGAGCTGCTTGCCGTGCCGGCTCAAGGGCATCCACGTGGTCAACCAGCCTTTCATTTTCGGCATGGTCTTCGCCTTTTTCAAGCCGTTCATGCAGGTACGTGTACTTGATGCAACAGAGGATCGCCCGACGAGTTTTGCGTCACGTCACCGAGTATAGAGCTCGTGTACCTTTTATGGTGATGGTTGTTGTGTATCATTTGCTTGTAGGAAAAATTGAGGAAAAGGATACATTTTCATGGATCGGACAGAGAAGGGCTGATGAAGCACATCGAGGCCAAAGCCTTGCCCAAAAAATACGGTGGCGAACTGGACTTTCCCGACCAACCGATCGGAGAGCCGTTCGTCAACTACATTGCGTCTTTCGAAGATAATTTCATTGGTAATTAACGGGCACTTTTTTTTTCTCCTTTCATCGGTTGTAGTTTTTTTTTAAATCTAATGTGTTTTTTTAGAAACCAACAAATACGGTTACTCTGCGAAAACGTAAGGAATACGCGATGTCAAGGAAATTTTAGCATATAAAAAGATGGATCTCCAACGGGTGGCGTAATTCAATATATGTATAATCTCGTTTGAGAGTGGCTGTGCGTGAATAAAATATGCATGAATGATGAGTAGTATTAAGCAATTTGTAAAAAAATACAACTTCGAGAGAGTTGTAGTTATAGTGAAGAATTAAGAACATTCCTTATCTCTATACTGAAGACAATAATTACTAAATGGAACGGTAAGATTCGTCACTAATAATTGTTATTAGAATAATATTTTTTGGATATTAATTTTTATA